CAACGTGAGACAGCTCTTCAGTCTTCCTTTGTCTTTCATGACCTTGGCATTTTTGAGTACCAGCCAGAATGTCCTTCCATTTGCATTTGTCTGCTGTTTCCTCATGGTTAAATTCAGATTATGCATTTTTTATAAGAATACCATGGAAGTGATGTTACATCCTTCTCAGTGGATTGTGTCAAGAGGCACGTGATACTGATTTATCCTGTTTCTGGTGATGTTAACGTTGATCATTTGGTTAAGGTAGTGTCTGCCAAGTTTCTCCACTGTAGTCACCCTTTGTAATTCATAAGTATTTTATGAGGAAATATTTTGAAACTGTATAAATACTGTTTCTCATCATATTTCTGTCCAGTAATTTTACTATCCATTGAGACTCCATCGATGACTCTTTCCGGAAACAATTATGACTGTGGTATTTGCCAGATTGTGCTTTTTCTAGTCATTATCTTTTCCACACTTTTTGGTTGGAATTTTATTATAAAGAAAAACTTTACTTCTTCCCCATATTTATTTTTTCCATTGTTTATACCAATATGGGCTCATGAGTTCTTAATTATTTCTATGTGTGAGAATTCGTTGCTATCATTTATTTATTTTCTTGCTCAAATTGTCCCTGATTTGACCAATGGGACACTGGTTTCTTCACGCTGGCTTCTGTGACCTTTTGACTATCCCTTCACTTTTTTTTAAGATTTTATTTATTTGAGGGAGCAAGCATGAGAGAGAGAGAGAGAGAGAGAGTGAGTGATCATGAGCAGAGGGGAGGGGCAGAGGGAGAAGCAGACTCCCCGCTGAGCAGGGAGCCTGATGCAGGGACTGGATCCCAAGAACCTGAGCCAAAGGTAGACGCTTAACTGACTGAGCCACCCAGGCGCCCCCTGTCCCTTCACTTTCTGATACAACATGATGTTCCTGGCTCATCTTGTATACTCTGTGCCTCAGCCCTAGAATTAACCATTCATACAGACGTTGTTTCTTTCATTGAAGAATAGATAGTATTTAGAAGTATATAGAAGCCAAAATCTGAGTGCTACCTGTGCTCACTGTTGGGGGGAGCTAGGAAATATATGTGTGTGCTCACATATCTGTAACTGTTTCTGTGTCTTTTGTATTTGTGTGTGTGTGTGGGGGGGTGTATGTGTATACACACACACACACACAAGTTCATACTGATACTTCCAATCTAACACCAAAGAGTTTATTCTAACCTCCCCCCACACCTGTAACTCCTATGAAGACAGTGAGAAACTCAGCTCTCATTATCCTCAACATATTTACTTTCTCAGTCCTAAAATACACACAGAATAGCTTCAGAATTACTAACCTACGTAACCCATATACAAACCTCCTAACTAAAATACTGTATTTGTGTACAAATCTTATATTTTGCCTTAGACTATGTAGTCAAATTACTATTTCCCAAAGTGACTTTTGTCAGTTCTCCCCCTGCCTCCCTTCAGTGTGGTCGTATCATTCATTTGTAATACAGTTAGGTTCACTTGTTTCTGGTTATATCCTATTTTGGGTCCACACCCTGCCCCCCACCAACACACTCCTTGTTAATTTTATTTACTTATTTTTGAGTATGTGAAACATTAATATGGTTCCAAAACACAGAACCAAACAAAAAAAAATATATACTCAGAAAGTGCCACTCTGCTTCAGCCCTTCTCCATAGTTGTTCCCATGCACCTGCTGAAGGTAACAAATCTCATTCATTTCTTATTTACCCTTTTTTCTTAGATGAAAGATAGCACAATGTAGCTATTTTTCTGTGCTTTGCCTTTTTCACTTTACAGTGTGTCCTGGAAATCACTTGCTATCCGCCTAAGTGATCTTGTTCATTGTTTCTCATAGCTGCAGAATACTGAGTGAATGTACCATAGTTCATATAGTCACTGTGAACTATGGTACACTGTCTTATATGAGTGCCTTTTTCCCCCATAGGCTTTCCAAGAAAATATGTATCATGCTTTTCAATCTTCTAGGCCAAGAATTTTGATAATGGTTCATGCAAAGATGGTAGTAGTAGAGGAGGTGGAAAGTGCTTAGACTTAAGATACAATTTTGGAAAAAAAACAATTCGGAGTTTACAATGGATTGCTGTGGAAGCTGATGCAGTGGTTTTCCAACTGGGGTCCTCTCCAGTTCTGTTTAGGTAGTAGGCATCGGTATTAACAGTCTACACTAGTTAGTTCTTTTTACTTGCCTGATTTATGAGGTTTTTGGTGACTCTCACCTTCCTCTTGGGCCAGCCTTAATTTTTTTTTAAAGATTTATTTAGCGAGAGAGGACACACGAGGGGGCGGGGCAAAGGGAGAGGGAGAGAATCTCAAGCAGACTGCTTGCTGAGCGAGGAGCCCTACGTGGGGCTCCATCTCAAGGCCCTGAGATCAGGACCTGAGCCAAAATCAAGAGTTGGCCACTTAACCAACTGAGCCACCCAGGCGCCCCTTGGGCCAGTCTCATTATATGTCCTAGTAAATTTATGGCATTATAATAGCTAATGCTAACTGCTCTAACAGATAATTTCTAACATTTCAGTGGCTTAATGCAGCAGTTTATTTTTTGCTCACGTTACAATCCAGTGCGGGTGTTTTTGAATTACAGCTCTCTTCCATGTGGTAATTCAGGGACTCTGGCTCCTTCTAGAATGTAGTTTCTCCGTGCCCTGAGTCTTGGAGTCTTTGAGGAGTAAGTATGAAAAGAAAGTGAAAAAGGGACATCTTAACTGCCTTGGTCTGGAAGGAATGCAGATTACTTTCCGGGTTCAGTTGCTGAGAACTCGTCACACGCCCCCTAGATGCAGGAGGGCTGGTAAATGTGGTCCCTGCAGGACAGCAGCTTTCCAGGAAGCACTCCATACATGGAGGGGGCGTAAGGATCGAGGTGGACAGGTAGCTAACTCTGCCATGGATATTTAACAAAGTAAGTCACTTGCGTACTGTGTGGGAATAAATAACTTGTGTTGCAGGATAGAACATTCTGAAGTATTACATTGTCAAATACTGAAGAATGGTTAAAAAAAACAAGTATAGAGTAGTCCCCCCTAATCTGCGGGGGACAAGTTCCAGGACCTCCCAGTGGATGCCTGAAACTACAGATAGTACTGAGCCTTAGGCATACTGTTTAAATATCCTGCAATACAAGTTATATGAATGGGGTCTCTCTCCCTCTCAAAATACCTTATTGTACTGTGCTCACCCTTCTTCTTGGGATGAAGTGAGATGATCCAGGGCCTACATGATGGGATGACATGAGGCGCATGACGTAGGCACGCAGTGTTAGGCCACTGCTGGCCTTCTGAGGGTCCTGCAGAAGAAGGATCATCTGCTTCGGGACCGCAGGTGTCCACAGGGAAGCGAAACCGGGAACAAGGAGGGACTGCGGTAATCATGGAGTTTTAACAGCAGGGAACGAAGAGTTGGTGTACAAAAGGAGGAACAGGATTTAACTTTGAAGGGTTAGTGAGTCTAGTAGAGGAGTTCCAAATAACAAGGATTGTGGATGAAGAAAAGATGTTTGTATTTTCATTCGTCTGCTCCTTCATTCATTCAAGAATGTGCCACTGGCCATGTGCTCGGTGCTGTTAGGTGGCGGCAGGAGGTGGACTGTATGTATACTGGGGCGGGGGGGGGCGTGTTTACTTGTACATGGACAGGAGGATGTTGTGCAGGTATGAGGAGAAGCGATGAAGCATAAGCCAGAACAGTGGGACTTTTCCCCGCCTTTTTGATCTTAAAAAACAAACAAACAAAAAAAAACCCTGAGAATATTATGTAAAAGAAACTTTCCTAAAAGCTTTTAAAGTGCAGCACTTTGTTAGAACAAATTGATCACCTAAATAAGAAAAAATGTCAGATTCTAATAAACAAGATGCTATTTCATGTTCTTTTCAGAATATAATATTTTTCAATCATGGAAAAATGAGTCTTTCTGACATTCTTAAGTGTTTGTAGGCTTTGGGCTCATCCTAAATGGAAAAGGTTAATATTGTTCTCATCATGCAGGGGTTTGATTTATAAGGGGACTACCAAGAGAAAGATCTGTCATAATATTTTATAGCCACACCAGTAGAGTAATGCTAATAACCAACATGTGTACTGCACGCTACAGTTTACAGAGCGGTCCTATATAACTGATCCAACCTGATTATCACCACAACCGTATGAAGTAGGTAAGGGCTAGGTTGATATCATCATTAGTAGTAAGAATAGTTGTATGTAGATGTTCAGATGTAGCGCCATTATCCCCATTTTACAGTCGAGGAAATTGACACTTAACGATGTAAACGATGTGCCTAGAATCTGTAAATTTAAAATCCCAAAGAGAAAATAAATTTTAAATTCTGATGTTGTGGTCTAATTTTATCTGTGTTCAAGAATAAAAAATTCATTTGAGCTTTCTAAACTTCCATTTACTTCTTGTCTGTTATTGTCAGGGTGGGAGGTAGGCAGAAGTTAAGAAAATATGGTTAAGGGGCACCTGGGTGGCTCAGTCGTTAAGCGTCTGCCTTGGGCTCAGGTCATGATCCCAGGGTGCTGGGATCAAGCCCCACGTCCGGCTCCTGGCTCGGCGGGGAGCCTGCTTCTCCCTCTCCCTCTGCCTCTCCCCCTGCTCATGCTCTTGCTCTCTCTGTATCTCTGTGTCTCGAATGAATAAATAAAATCTTTAAAAAAGAAAAAGAAAATACAGTTAATATTTCCAAGTAGTGTGATATTTTCCATTCTTTGAATTACGTCTCTTGTCAGACAATTTCCTTTTTCTTTTCTTTTGGTTTTTATAGTAATTGATTTTATGGTACATTAAATGTGAGGGGGAAATCCTGAAAGGGCAGGACTTTTATTCTGGGAGCCAGTTTTTTTCTCTTTGGGGACTTACTTGTTTGTTCTATAAGCAAAAGAACTGCACTAGATCCTAACTCCTTTGTATTCACATTTATTAGTGAATAATACTGTTGCTTTGTGACTAATGTCCAGCTGTGTCTGTTCTCACAGGTGGGGTGACTGCTCTCTGTTGGGACCCTGTCCAGCGAGTGTTGTTCTCGGGCAGCTCAGATCACTCTGTCATCATGTGGGACATCGGTGGGAGAAAAGGAACGGCCATCGAGCTCCAAGGACACAAGTAAGGCAGCTGATGATTTTACTAACAAACTCGGAGAAAAGATTCCCAGTGAAAGCTAGAACAGGCGTGTGGTCTGGTGTCTACGGCAAGATCTTAACATGGGAACAAACTGCCGGAACACAAATAATAGCCACTTTGAATTATATCTGTGCGTAGGTATGTTTATTTATTTATACCTCATTTAATTCCATGGAGGATTTGAGAGTGCTTGCAAAAACTGTAAAATAAAATAATGGCAGCAAAGAAATAAAAAGTAAAAATGAGAACCAGGGAGACTTACGAGTAAAAATTTGAGAATGCGAGAAAAAAAGAGCTTAAAAATATAAGCCATGAAAGCCTATGGAATTTCAATAATTGAGTTCAAATGTGGCAAGATTCCTGGCAGCTTAAGGAAAAGGGGAGAGATAATAAGCTTACACTATATATTTTGTACTTGACCAAATATTTATTGAGCACTCGCCTTGATTCATATCAGGCTCTTCTTCCTTGACAGGCAGATTTCACAGGGCTGAGAGGAAGAGCAAAGAAAGCTTTGTGTTTCCTTGGAGCTGTTCTCAAACTTGCAGTGTGCAAAGAGTCACCAAGGAATTTGTTACAGTGTAGACTCCTGGACCCTGTCCTTGGAGAGCCCAGTCACCGTCTGGAGCTGCAAGTGTCTGTGCTGTACGAGGCCTCCCAGGCAGCTCTCTTGGCAGCCCTCAGACCACACTCTGACCTGTCCTACCCTGTGCTGCCCGCCGGTCCTAGGGGCAAAGCCTGGTCGTGGGCAGAAAAGAACTGTAGATCTGCTTTCGAGCTCTAAAGCTAATCTGTATTGTTTTGAACTTGTGAAGTTTTCACAGTGATGTCAAGAGCAACTGTAGATAGCCATAGCAAATGTTAGTAAGGCTCCCACGAGCTGACTGGTTCTAAGCAACATTAGCTCTTTTTGTAAATCTACCCAGTAAATATTCTCCTAAGTAGTTACATCTATAGTTGGATTATTAGATATGAACGGATTCAATTTTGGAGGGCCTCTGCACAAATAATTATCTTAGTGTTAGAATTTAGTCTTTGAGAAGTAGCTGTGAAGCCTTCTTTCCCACATTAGAAAATGGGCCCGTTGTCTGGGGCCTTGTCTGGCTTGTGGGGCCACTCGGACCTTGTCATCAGCTCATAAGAGGAATCGTTCCCTTGTATTTATCTCCGTGACAAGGGGACATGCATCAGTATTGTATAAAAGGAGTTGACATCATCCATGTAAATGAAGAAGAAGAGAAGCCAAACACAGTCCTGTTTAATAATACTCAGTTATTCTCCAAAATGCCAAGTTAATTCCTGCCACCTCAGGTCTTTCAGAGAAATAAAAGGCCAGTTTTGAATGAATATCAGTAATATTTGTTGGGCTCATTCAGATTAGCTCATAACTAGTTTTATTTTTGCACAGTGGTGAATAAAGCCTGCAGGCAATCTTGCATGACCCATCCACAGGGTAGTAAAGTATAACAGTGCTCAACACCAGCAGCACTGCGTGCTGAGTGCCCCCCCACAAACTGTTGACCTGGGAAACTTGCACCTATCGTTTGGTAAGAAAGGAAAAGCTGTAAAATTGAGATAGAGTCTCTCAGTCCCAGAAAAATGGAACCTGAGCTAATAGGTCTTCCAGTTTCTAAGGAATACGGACCTGGCCTTTTCGAAAATGAAACAAACCATACTTAGGAGTCCGTCCCAATAATCCACACCCTTAGAACCTAGTGGGATGGCAGGCTGGTGAGATCAGGAGCCGCCGGTCGGCACTGGTTTTAAACAGGAATAATGGCAGAAGGCCTTTGCCTGTGCTTTATTTAGCTCAAGCTGAGGAATAAAGGGAACTCTGTGAGGGGCTCCTCGTCACTGGGCCTTGCCTGAGAGGGGCTGCCTGGTGTCACACGTCTGGGGGAAATGAACTTCCTCAGTTGGTGTCACCCTGTTAGAGTGGGTTTGAGTGCCCGAGGTGGAGTCAGGGAGGACACCGGAGCTGCTGAAAGGAGGAGGATGGGACTCACAAAAGGGGGCGGAAAGAAGGGGCCAGGCCAGCAGGCAGGAAGGAGAGCCACAGGGCCACGTTCACAGCCACCATTCCTTTGCCCTGAAAATTGGCCACGGGATTGGTGTTCAGTGATTGCTCTTCGTCAGAGAGCAAACACACAGATACCTCAGTGCCATCTTGTAAGCACTCTGTATATGTAGGAGGGAAGCCAGATGTCATCTTTTAGATGAGAATATTGAGTCCTCAAAGGCCCCAGCTGGTAGCTTAGTTCTCCCAAACCTTAGCTCAGTCCAACAGAGAAAGCTCCTTAGAGCCTTCTTTGTATCCTGCACTGTGCTAGGTACTGGGGGTACTGAAGCGAACATTGACTAACAGATGGTCCCCTCAGTGCTCCATGATTTTTTTTTTTTTTAAAGATTTTATTTATTTGACAGAGAGACACACAGTGAGAGAGGAAACACAAGCAGGGGGAGTGGGAGAGGGAGAAGCAGGCTTCCCGGCGGAGCAGGGAGGCCGATGCGGGGCTCGATCCCAGGACCCTGGGATCATGACCTGAGCCGAAGGCAGGCACTTAACGACTGAGCCACCCAGGTGCGTGCCGCCCCCACCCCCCCCGCCATGATCTCTTTTGTCTTTATACTTTAGAGGCCAAAGAGTTTCTTCTTGGGGCCCACGGCTGTCCCTTGCTGTCCTACAATTCTTCATTTTCCCACCTTCCCCCCAGGGTGACTGCAGGTGGTTAGAGTTCCAGATCGGGCACCGAATTGGTGAGCTTGGGAACTGGGCAGAGCCAACCAGACCAAAGACGCAGAGGGGTGGGGAGACTGCCTTCCCCTCTGGTGGGAATATCCAAGCATGATGTGGAGGGACAGCTCCCCAGGTCTTCTGTCCTAGGTTCTGTGGCTTCATTCCATCCTTCAGCAGCAGAAATATGACAGTTTTGCAAGTAATTTGATTTGGTATATAAAAATCCCATCAAAGCAGAGAGAGCTTTAGCACTAGAGTAACTAACATGTCTCCAAGTTCAAGGGAAAAAAAGCTAAGAAAGTATACTTCTATACAATTTTATCTGCATTTGACATATTTTAGTGTTTTTATTCCCTGCAGCAAGTGGAACATGATTATGTGCTAGCTCTGTGAAAGGAAAGGCATAGAAAAGGTTCTAGTTTTAGGGACCAGTTATGTTTCTGAAGTATCCATTACCAGCTGGTTGGATATTATGGAAGCATAAACCTAGACATTTATTGTCCCATGCCCATGTCAAATCTAATAATGATACTTGGGCTTTTTAGATCCTTTTTTACTCTTAGATAATACCTATCATTTCATGACCAACTTTATGACCATACTTTTCCTTTCTAACAGTATTTTTCTTAGGCTTCTAAGACTTGTGGCAATTTAATTTAATGGTAACTTGACTTAAAGCACAGGTAAAGATCTGAGCCGTTTCTTGGGATGGAACCTTCCACCAATACTGGGATTCCGTAGGTGACATGGGATGTGGTCACTGCCCGGGCTGTTGTCACACAGGGCCTCTGTATTTTTCACAGTCCCAGCTCTTGGTTTTTCTCTTCTGACTCTTAGCATATGTAAGACTTTTGTTACAAGCATCTTCGAAGCCTTTTGGTAAAGAAAGGGGCTATTTGTAAATAAATATCCATCGGTAGAATTTGGACCTTTCCCTCTTTATCAGGCAAATTGCGTGTAAAGTTAGGAAAGGAAGTAGAATTCTCACATTCATACTCTCCTGGGTTTGGGAAAGGAGAGCAAGGGTCAAGGAGAGCAAGCTTTTTCTCTTTGCAAATCTCAGATTTAGGAGCATTTGTCATTGTAGCACTAGAGAATTATTAGGATCCAGGGGAAGAGATGTCTTTTCCATTTCTAATTGAGCTAAATGCATAATAGATCAAAGAATTAGCAGTGAGGGTTTTCATAGAGGGGAGAACCTTATCAAGGGGGAGATGGCGTACTGCGTGGTCATTAATCGCTGGCCTCTGAGCCAGGCCAGGCTGTGTTTGAGCCAGCCCTTCTGCTAATGGCCATGTAGGCCTTGACAGGATTCTTCATCTCTCTGATCCTCAGGTTTCTTATCTCTAAAGTAAGGATAATACTGGAAGGAGAAACCCTCAAAGATTGTCAAAAACCATAAATGATAGAATGTATATAAAATAATCAGAAGAAGGGCGCCTGGGTGGCTCAATCAGTTAAGCATCTGCCTTTGGCTTAGGTCATGATCTTGGGATCCTGGGATCGAGCCCCACATCAGGCTCCCTGCTCAGTAGGGATTCTCCTTCTCCCTCTCCCTCTCCCTCTCCCTCTGACCCTCCTCTCCACTTGTGCGCGCGTTCTCTCTCTCTGTCTCAAATAAATAAAATCTTTTTAAAAAATCAGCAGAAGAGTAAGGGCTAGTAAGTGCCGGTTGTTGAAATTATTCTTGATAACAGAAATTACAGTAATTTGAAAATCAAGCTTTTGGATAGGAGTCGTATTTCTCTCTGAATATAGCATTTTCAATGGAAATATTGCCACGTGTACTTACTCCTTCTATAAGACATTCAGCAGCTGTTTACTGAGCTCCATCTATATACCAGACTTTGTAGTAGGCACTCTGGATACAAAGGGGACTGTGAAAACAGTCACGGACTAGATGGAACAAGCTGGATGCATGAGAATGGGGTAAAGTTAGGACAGTATGCCAGTGTGACAAAAAAATGGGAGGCTTCTGTGGAGGGAGTCACTCTTGATTTGGGTCTTAGGAGATGAATAGGTTCTCATAGTTCTCAGGATCAGGAGGTTACCCCAAACAGAGCTGCATGAACTCATTACAGTGTTTTCAGGAAATGGCAAGTGGACAGAAGTGGCTAATCTGAACTTCCACCTTAGCCAGTAAAACAACCAAATGTTGCTGATCTCGAACGAGTGCTCCTAGGCAGGGTCCCTGAGGAGGGAAATCCTTCCAGGGTCCCCTTGGTGTGGGATGACCCCAGGTATC